CAATTGTCATGCTTTTTATCTAGAGCTTTTTGTTTGTTCAAGTTATATGGTCTGTTATGGGTTACAGAGTTTGTAGGCAATAGGCTGCTTGTAGATAGCGCTTTTGAGAGCTGTCTAGTCATTGAGCGTGACATCGTGATACCTGATGTGGACAATATATTAATTGTGCAGGGACGTAGTGGAAAGTCCCACGGTCGCCCTGCCAATATATATGTAACGAAGAAATCAGGAGATTCACTAAATGGTTCTTTTTCAGGGTCGTAGTAGAAATCCCACAGTCGCCCTGTGAACGATTGAATTGTCTACCAGCAGTCAGCTTTTATTTGAGTGCTTAATTTTCGCAGTCAAACCCTAAACAGGTTTCTATTAGGATGTACACCGTCCTTATGAAGTGTCCAATTATATTGGTCTCTAATCATTTTATGTTGATTTTTAGAGCTTTTCAGATTTGAGCGTTTTAAATCAGCATTTATGTTTGGAGCTCTACTATTTAAGGTTGTATTTAATTCTCTGATTTTGTCATTTACTCTGAGGACTTGTTCTAATAGTTTTTCGTCTTGAGCTAGAAATTGATTTGGGTCAGTATGATTTCGACTTTTATTCCATTCGTATAGTGAATAAACTGGAATTTCAATAATAGTTATTTTGCTCTCTGGATATCTTTGAAATAGTTCAACAATTTTATCTAAATTGCTCAGTAGTGAGTTGATTGCTTCATCAGATTCAGTTTTAAGAGAAATCACCCCTTTATTGTATTGGGTTAAATCACATGTCCCTAGCCAGACGTATGAAGAGATGTTATGTAAATGTTGTATTTTCTGGTCAAGATTTTGTGTGATCCAACTGAACCCTTGTGCGGAAGTTTTTGATTTTCCGCACCGCCACTTAATTTGGGTCTCAAAGTTAGATGTTGTTGCTCTTTGTAAATATAAACCTTTACTATCTGAAATGACCACGGGGGTCAATTTTCTTTTTCCCGTAGGAAGTTTAAATGGCTTGCTCAAATATTTCAATAGTTTATGCTCAGTCATAAATTAATCTTTGGTGTTATTGTAGTACTTAAATGTCAATCTCAAGGGATAACTTAAATGTTTTCTGGAAATTCTAAGATGGCTGCTGAAAATGGCTGCCGACAACGATCACTCACACATGTTCCATGATAAAACTATCGGGGTAAAAAATATTTAGTCATAAAAGGTAAAAGAAAAAGTTTGTGCGTTGGTAATTATATACACTGGTACTTAAAAGGAAGTGTGTAAATGTTAAAAATGTTCGTGATAAAACAATACAATAGGATAAAATGCGCTCCCACAATTTTCACATCCACTCTCCTTGCTGCCTCGATTTCCCATATATATGTTTTCTAACGTGTGGAACATGCAAGTTGCAATATGTTGGTGAAACAGAAACATCATTTAACATCTGACTAAATAACCATCGGTCATTTTATACAAAAGAAAGAAACTGCCCAATCACAAGATAACTTTTAAGAGCAGGACATGATTTTGAAAACGTCACATTTCAAATCATTGAGAAAAACCAAAATTGGGATACACAAGGAAGACAAAAGAGAGAGATATTTTGGATGCACCAGTTACGAACTCTTGAACCTGATGGACTCAATGAGAGAGACGAAAAAAGATTTAAAAAACAAATCAAAACAATAATATGGAAATCATACAAATTAATTTATAGAAATTCATACAATTTATAGAAATTCATACAATTTATAGAAATTCATACAATTTATAGAAATTCATACAATTTATCGAACATCAATAAATATGTTAAACTTTTACTCCAACTTTATGTAGTTGAAGCTACAAACATATATTTTTTATAGAACATCAATAAATTTTGTTAAACTTTTACTCAAACTTTGTGTAGTTCAAGCTACAAAAATATTTTTTTGTCATGCATCCGATTTCATCTTGAGAGATGCACACGCCTGATGAAGCTAATTTGTTTAGCGAAATGTTGCGTATTTCTATTTAAAATCTAATAGAACTTTTTAGTGTATTAATAAGGGTGTTTAAGTTATATTCTTAGACATTTATATAAATTTAATTCAGTAACTTATCAGTTTATTTTCACAAACTGATCCACGCCTAAATAGATTGGATGTTGATTGTTGCTATTTTTAGACATTATATATATATATAAGAAAATTAATTAATTGCTTGACGGTCCTTGGAAACAGTGAGACACCAAAGAACTTTGAAAGGTAGTTATTTAGTTTATTATAATATAATATATATATATAAACAAGTCTAAATTGAAAACAACGTTCAAACCTATGATTGCGTTGGATAAAAACCGCCATTTTATACGTGTGCATGTAAAACAAATTTCTTGGTAGAGGGGTCTAAATACAGCACAAACAATATTTTCCAAAAGACCAAAAAAGTGAAAAGTATATTTTAACAAATCGCATTTGACTAACAGGTCGAACAACTGATGTTCTTAAACCCTGCTGACTACCATTGACGATTGCCAAATAATTGATCACGAGATGTAACATGGATCTTAATTATTAATTTAATACCAAACAGAAAACAATAAACTTGCGGAGAAGATGGTATACCGCAAACATGAGGTGCAAACATTTGTACACCATATCCGGATTTCGACAATTAGTGTCTCTTCAGTGATGTTTGGGATCGAAACGGTATTTGGAAGGCCATATAATTTACCTCAATTTAGGATAGACTCTTGAATTTTAAAGAGTCGAAATAGGATGAACGGATCATATAAACCCGAAGGAAAATATAATACAAGCCCAAACGAAAAAAATATAAACAAGTCTAAATTGAAAACAACATTCAAACCTATGATTGCGTTGGATAAAAACCGCAATTATATATTTATATATATAAGTACGTCTAAACCAGTGACAACTATACGACAGATTTTATCCATCGGATCACCAGTGATGGTGATACAAGGCTGAAAACACATTCTGTATACATAATTCTTCTAAATAGCAGCCCAACAATGTTAGATCTGTAAATTCGCGGAAGCAAATTTTTGTTCTTCCCTGGGCGGGATTCGGATAGATAATTTAGCTGATCTGTAAAATTCCATCTTCATGCCTTATATATCATGTACTGTGTTACAATGCTAGAAACAAACTGACGATGAAAGGTAACACCCGGCCACCGAAAGCTTGATTTTTATCGAGCCTAGTTGGTCGAGTGGTCTAGCGCGTCGGGCATAGTGCAAGGCGATTTGGTGCCACGATATCTCAGTAGCATGAGTTCGAATCCCGGCCAGGAAAGAACAAAAATTTACTTCCGCAAATTTACAGATCTAACATTGTTGGGCTGTTATTTAGACGAATTATATATCAAACATTTAAAACAAAATCATATTTCTCTTTACCCTGACAGCGGTTAGGACATCCTAGCTAAGACAGCTTCGATGTGCATGCTGAGACATGTCGTAAGTCGGTCCTAACATTATTCTTATTTATAAGTCTCAGAACAGATCCTAGGACAGCTTCGATAAAAAAAAAATCCCGTGATGTTTAATATAGAGCGTACACCGACTGGTTGGTGGGGACTTTATAACAGACAGAATATTATTAACTTTTTTTTTAAGAAAAAGTACCGACAATGAAAATTTCTCATTTACTGATCTCGATAAAGTGAATATGCTGAAATGTTGAACCTTTTGTGGAAAACAAATAATAAAATAAATACAGAGTAATAAAAAAGCGGTATTTAATTACAAGATAAAAAATATACTTTTAAAAATATTCCGTGGTATGTAAAACCGTTACCTTTTGTCCTTAAATCCGAACTCGTACCTTAGATTTGGTCTAAACAGTTTTACAACCATTTAGAAAAAAACAGAGGACTGAAAGGGGTCCAAAGGATTGAAATATGGTCTTTAACAAAAGACAAGTGTTTAACTAATCGCTCAGTGTCAAAAGAGTCACATAAAAATTAAACAGAGACCAGCAGAGATCCGCCATTAACATTAAAGTTAGTATGCCAAAGTCAGTTATTTATTGGAATCGACGATGAGTGTATAAATATAAGAGACAAACCACAAAAATAAAATTAAGAAAATTAATTAATTGCTTGACGGTCTTTGGAAACAGTAAGGCACCAAAGAACTTTGAAAGGTAGTTATTTAGTTTATTATAATATAAAGATAAGAGGATGTGGTCTGATTGCCAATGAGACTACTCCCCAAAAGAAACCAAATGACACGGAAATTAACACCTTTAGGTCACCGTACAGCCTTCAACAACGAGCAAAGCCCATATCTAATAATCAGCTATAAAAGGTCCCGAATTGACAAACGAAGAACAATTCAAACGGGAAAACTAACGGCCTAATTTATGAACAAAATAATGAACGAAAAACAAATATGTTACACAGAAACAAACACGACAACCACTGAATTAAAGGCTCCTTTATATAAGTTTATTAGATAAAAGGGGCGGAAAACACTTACACTTTTTCCAATCGGCAATCCTCGGGTGAATCCGCTACTCTCCTTCTATCTGGCCGAGTTGTGACGAATGACACTTTTTCTTATTTTTCCGACAGATGTGATGAAATAATAGTAAATCCTCCAGTTCTTTACAAATAAAACTAACAACTATTTTTATTTATATGAAATTATAATTAAATAAAAAATTAGAAGTAATTGGTTTTAATTGAAATAAAGAAAAAAGGGGGTCTATATACCTGATCGTCATATTGTGCCTTAATCGCCTTAAAGACCTGAAAAATACACTCACATTATGATCAATATTGAGTCGTTAATAGTAGTTTTAAATTTTGTATGCCCTTAATAAGATGGTGATGTATCCTATATCCGTTTGAAGTCAATAAGAACGTAAGTATTATTTATACTTGTGTAGGATCTAGTAGTTACTGGTAGTTACTATCATCCATATTATTGTATGATCTAGTCCTGGTAGTTACTATCATCCATATTATTGTATGATCTAGTCCTGGTAGTTACTTTCATCCATATTATTGTAGGATCTTGTCCTGGTAGTTACTATCATTGTACCGGGTATTCTTGGTGTTGTCCTTTAAGTTACAGTTGTACCGGTACATCAAGTTGTTATGCGCGCAGCTCATCATCACTATCATCCTCACCATCAGGAGGGTAAGTTAACTCTTATAATTTCTACAAATATGCATTGCTTGTTCACAAAAACTATTTGACTTTTGTTTATGAAAGTCAAAACAAAATAAAATGAGAATACTGTTGTGTTTAGAATTGACTGTATATGTGAAAAGGTGTCAAAGCTGAAGACAGAACGCATGACCCGAAAGGGAGTGCACTTTGTCATCAACCGAGGCTACTATTAGTATTTACAGATGACCACGACAAACTCTAGCATAACATACAATGTTGTAGTTCCAAATGGTGAAGTTGAAATCATCCCTTCGTAAATTTTACGGACGCCATCACGAGTTGGTTGACCGTTATGGAATAACCGTTTCACAGATGATATCGGATATGTTCCTTATGTCGTAACTACAATACCTTTCCCTTTTCACGAATGTGACCTACCGAATTAGACTATTTACCGGATTTGTAATAACATAAGCAACACGACGATTGCCACATGTGGAGCAGGATCTGCTTACCCATTCCGGAGCACATGAGATCACCCCCAGATTTTGATGGGGTTCGTGTTGCTTAGTCTTTAGTTTTCTATGTTGTGTCATCTGTACTATTATTTGTCTGTTTGTCTTTTTTTTTTTTTTTTTGGCCATGGCGTTGTCAGTTTGTTTTCCCTCTGGTATCTTTCGTCCCTCTTTTGTAGTATTTTCATTTCGCAGTATCAAAAGTTTAGGTCATCTTTAATATTTGTGTTAGGATATTTTAAGGGTAAACACACTTTTTATTTATATGTTTGGGTTTTTTTGTTATTGTTTCTTGATTTTCATTTCAGATACATTATTTTGGTTTCATAACTACACGTATTTACTATGATAGACTTTTGCATGTCTACATTTCATAATAGATGTTCACTCCGTTAATTTATATTGGAATTTTATTATTTTACTAGGGCCATTGCTGGTGGCATTGTTGGAAGTATAATCCTTGCAGTAATCATATTTTGGATCTCAGCTACTATGAAATGTAAGTCTCACTTGATTTGTCCAAGTAATTATTCAACATTTGAGATATTAACTAAAAAAAAAGCACATGCTAAATACTTATTTAACGTTTTATAACATTAAATGTGTTTAATATAAACATTAAGAGATATTGACAATGAGACAACAATCCAATAGAAGTGAATGTGAATGTGAGTAGCTAAAGGTCACCGTACGGCCTTCAGCAATGAGCAAATAAACCTTTACCGTATAGTAAGATATCGAATGCCTCAACTATTCAACAAATTTAATCGATAACACCAACCGCCAAACATTAGAAGCAACTGTAATAATCATTTGAAATGAGCTTGACTGCTCAGATCGACACGAAGCAAACAAAAAAGACAAAAAGACAAAAGTCAAAAAGTACCGATCTAAGAGAACTCGTAGTTAATGAAAACTAGTTCAAAGCCAATTGCAACCTATAAATAAATCAGGCTTTCCCAGACTAAAATATCAATGATTGCACATCCAACAAATTTTGAGTCTTCGAAAAGCATAACTTTGTGCAATGCCAAAATATAAGTTGACAGGGTGTAAAACCATAGGATCCGGCTTTCAATTTCAAATACGTTCATACTTTTTAGTTTTATTGAGGAAAACATCATAGACTGACACGCTTTAACGACTTACTTCAAAGTAGTTGCTGGACACAACAAATCCTCAAAAGCCAAGTATTGATTCACTCATAGGGTCTTTGCATCGGAAATAAACACATTTATTCTAAAACCAGTTGTTGGCATGATACGGGTTATGTTCTTCTCATATATTTTATGATGGTATGATACTGAACCCCTAACGGGAGGGATTGTACCTGATTTTCATATGATAAAGACCTAATCTTTCAATCAGTTTAATTGAGGTTTGGAGCTGGCATGTTCGTAACTGCTAGTAGTCCTTTGTTCATTTATGTATCATTGTCATTTTGCTTAGTTTCTTTTGTTACCTATTCTGACATCGGACTCGGACTTCTTTTAAACTGAGTTTTACTGTGCGTATTGCTATGTGTTTCTTTTTTCTACATTGACTAGAGGTATAGTGGGAGGGTTGAGATCTCACAAAACATGTTTAACCTCGCCGCATTTTTGCGCCTCTCCCAAGTCAGGAGCCTCTGGCCTTTGTTAGTCTTGTATGTATTTTTAATTTTAGTTCATTTATATGTTTTGGAGTTTAGTGTGACGTCCATTTTCACTTAACTAGCACACAATTTTATTTAGGGGCCAGCTGAGGACCACCTCTGGGTGCGGGATTTTCTCGCTGCATTGAAGACCCATTGGTGGCCTTCGGCTGTTGTCTGTTTTTGGTCGGGTTGTTGTTTCTTTGACATATTCCCCATTTCCATTCTCAATTTTATTACATTAGGTGTCAAATATTGTGACAAAATTTATATGAATAGTTGTATAAATAATTTTCTGTTTTCCGTTAAAATTTATTTTACAAGTCTTGGAGTAATTTCATTCAATTGATGGCTACAGATTGTCTGTAAAACTATTATTTATATAGCAACAGATACAGTAACAATTAGATTTAACGAAATACAGTTTAATACGATATTGTTTTGTAGTTAAATATAACTGTCAACGTATCCCAAATAACCTTCAGTGTTTCCGTACGTTGTCTGACATACCCTTAGTTTCAATGACCGATATTTAACAGGGAAAGGTTCAATCTTCTTTAACTACGACACATAGTCTGTGCTCTGGTTAAGAACTTTAGTGGTTGTATTTAGTATAGATATCTAAATGTTTTTGTAGGAAAGGAATTCTGGTCTTTATTGTAGGTCTTTGATAGTCTCTAGATTCAGATCCTGACATATTGTATAGACACTTTCGTTTTTGAATACCGAATTATAGTTTTTAAGATTTCTATCTGGTGTTATGTCATTGTTTAATAAAATTTATTCGCAATGCATTCAAGTTTTATGATTATCAAGCAAGAATATTAGAATATAAATAGTTCAACTTACGTTCTTAAATTTGACAGAATCGGTCAATATAAAAATGCAGTCAAGCATATCTATGTTAGTAATCAATGTCTGATAAAAGACGCATTTCACGGGATAAATCTCCGTAGAATTAAAACAAAACCATAAAAGACTGTTTGAACTACCGTTGTTATTAAAAATGGGTGAATAGAGATAATTTGAATTCATATTTTGGTTCGCGTTTTTCATATCAATGCTTGAGTAATAGACGGACATACGGACAGACAACAATATACTTCACTTCTAGAATATTCTAAGCTTAACAAACTATCATTCATTTCATGTTTTTATTTCAATTGACCAAAAAATAAAAAATCGATACTAGTATTTATTTCAATAAAATGTGAATTCGTCTAACAAAAAAAATGGTTTTTAATATTTTAGGAGACTTTCTAACCGGCGATTTGGGTTTTTTTGTAAATGATATAAAAGAAAAACAAACTTACAAGTAAAGACAAAGAAATAGAAAACTGACATAACTGTTTATTCTACTAACTTTCTTAGATGGCTATACCTATCACTGCATATTAATTCTGTCTGGATAGAAATCTGAAATTAAGGCACTTTTCAAGTAAATTTTGTTATAAATTGAAGCATTTTAGATTTAGATTGCATTTACCCTTCTGTAACACGACTGAAATCACTCCCAGTTTTTGGTGGGGTTTGTTTTGCTAAGTCTTAAGTTTTTTTATGTTGTGTTTTGTAGACTGTTGTTTGTCTTTTATGGTTTTTCGTTTTTTGTCATGCTGTTGTCAGTTTATCATCGACATATTAGTTTCAATATCCTTTAAGTAACTTCCGCCACTGTTTCACACTCAATAGAAGACAATACAAAAAATAAAGACCCTATTTGAAGTTGCCGTTAGGCTGTTTATCTTATGTAACTTAATTTATTACAGTATTTTGGATTAAGATTATTACTATTCCATGTGTATGGAGCATAAACTGCAAATGCAAAACTTTAAATTTAAGACTTCAGGTTTGGTAGTTAAATGCTAGACGATAATAATATTAATTGGAATTCCCTTTTAATCCTCTTAACTCTTGTGAGTTAAAATTACTCAACTTTTTGGAAATGAGAATAAAGGAAATCGAGATATTTTGAAAATGTTAAAGTTATATAAAAATTAATTGTCTAATATTTACAAAAAATAAAAGTCTAAAGATTTAAGAAAAACTCACTTTAGATAACTATGGTTACATTTATTCCAGCAAAAACTGGAAAGGTTAGAAGAGTCATATATCCAAAGAGAATAACCATCAGAGAAGCAACAGTACCAAAGAGACAACAACCGAGCTATAGTAGTAGGCCTGCACACAGCACACAGCAAAATGAAATGACACTTCCGGGTTCTTATGAACCTTTTAATCCTCCTTTATCTCATCACATATAAAAAAAAGTTTTTGCTCCGATATTCTATGTTCTATGTATATTCTGTGTTAACTGCAAGGTCATTTGAAGTTCAATATTTGTATTTATTAATTTTGAAGATTAATTCCAATGAATATAACGAATCGAATGAAAATTGATAAAAATTTATTTTGTGTTTTACTATTCTTCATCTTCATTTTCCTATACTATAAAGTTTGTTCTACGTTCACATATGTAATAATTATCTAGACAGTTTATTCAATTTCATTTTTATCATTGTTAAATAAAATGATCATAGCACAAAATTCTTGAATATAACTTACGTTTTAATCGGCCGATATTCTTTTTGTATACTACCATTATGTACAATAACCTTTAACTGGACATTGATACGAATATTCATAGTCATATACGACTGAACGAAATGCTTACTTCTTTACTTTCATACTTTCAACTGATAATATACTTTCATATTTTTAATTACATATTCAAGATAAAAATCTTTTTATCGAACAAATCAACCAACAAAGTCATGCTAAGAAAAATGACACAAAATTCTTGAAATGTTTAATTCTTAAGTGTTATTGACATTATTAATATTGAAAATTTCCTGTTTTTACATAATAAGAAAAAGATGAAGAGAAAGACATATTAAAATACCACTGTTCTACGATTTTAAGATCAACTTCGCATACGATACCTACCAAAACATGACACATGTATTGAACATTTATTGTACGATCTACGATACCTACCAAAACATGACACATGTATTGAACATTTATTGTACGATCTACCATGTTAAATAGAATAGAGAATGGAAACGGGGAATGTGTCAACTTACGACATTTTTGTTTTTTAAAGATCTGTTGTGGTTCTCTCGTCTTTAAAGATTTTCCAGTGAGTGAATGATGTTTTACACTGTTGAGAAACAGAAACATGTATCTAAAAACAGAAAGAAAAATGCTTAGTACTGATTCTGATTGCTGTCTCCTTTTGTATAAATCATTGCAACTAATCTTCACCAAATCAAACAGAGTCCAATTCTTCACGCTGTATTTCTCGTGAGAATCCCCATTACCACATTTACTAGTGAAACGTGGAAACATAGACTGAAGATATCACAAGTCGAACAGAAACTGGCAACGCCATGGCTTAAAACGAAAAACGAAAGACGACGAAAAGATCAACAAGTCTACAAACACTACATAGAAAACTAAAGACTGAGCAACACGAATCCCATCAAACACTTTGGATGTTCTAAGAGGCTAATGAACCGGAAGGGTACACAGATCCTTCCCCACTAGTGGCACCCGTCATGTTGCTCATGGATATTACAAATTCGGGTTATATAGAGGAAAAGAGGGTAAGTTGTAGTAACGACAATTGGAATAAATTCGTAGTAATAGGTTACACAGATATTCCATAACGGCAACCAACTCGTGATGGCATCCGTAAAACCTTTCAAGGGATGACCTCAATTTTACTAATAGGAACTCTTGGCTTAATTACTTTCTTGTAAACAGCAACCATCTTCAAGCAATTCTTTGGGAGAAACCATGCTCAGGAATATCGTATCAAATAGGACATATATACTCATTAACAAAAAATTGAGATACTTTGAAATTCGTTCAACTTTAAGAAAATGGCCGAGTTTTACCAAATAAGGCGTGGATGCTATTGGTATAATTGAGTTGTTTACTAAGAGTTAAATGTAACAGATCGCTGTCTTTTTGCTTGTTATTTACTCTGACAATGCCTTTTCCTGATGAATTTTCTTCAGATTAATAATATAAGGTGTACAATTTGTCAGAAAAAGGAAGAAATGGCAAAAAAATAAATAAATAATGTAAATGTCAAACAACGAGAGGGGTAGATGATACACCAACATAGATAATAGTCCAGCAATCTTCTTTTTACTTTTTTCTATTTCTTTGTCTCCATAGGGTGCGGAGGGAATGGATATCAGAGTATGCTGCTAAGATTACTAAAAGAATCGGAAGAAACCCTTGACATAAATACTGTATATAAAATTGAGAATGGAAACGGGGAATGTGTCAAAGAGACAGCAACCCGACCAAAGAGCAGAAAACAGCCCAAGGCCACCAATGGGTCTTCAACACAACGAGAAAATCCCGCACCCGGAGGCGGACTTCAACTGGCCCCAAAACAAAAATGTGTACTAGTTCAGTGAAAATGGACGTCACACCAAACTCCGAAACATGAACCAAAATTAAAAAAACATACAAGACTACCAATATCAAGAGGCTCCTGACTTTGTGATAAGTCTAACTTGGTAGTTAGGTCACATTCCGGGAAAAGGGGACGGGATTATAGTTGCAACAATTGGAACATATCCGTCGTATATAAAAAAAAAAAAGTAAAATAACAAAAAAACCGAACTCCAAGGAAAATCCAAAACGGAAAATATATCAAATATATAAGTCATTGTTAGAACAACATCGTTTACTATGAACTTAACGTCAGATTTTGTATTGAATTTATTTAGTGTATTTCTATACTTTTAGAGTCTGGAGGTTTTTTGAGCGTTTAAGATAAATTGAAGTTTAAAGTCTGATTCTTAAACATAAATTTAAACAAATTCGGCGACTTGAAGATGGGAAATTCTGATTGATTGATTGGTGATTGCTTTACGCCGCAACTGTGGAAATTCTGCATGCATAATTAACTTTTTTACATCTCTGTCTCAAAAATGTGAAAAGCGTTATAAAAAACTGTTTCTGTGTTCTTTTCATTAGTGTTTTAGTGAGCATTATATTTTCTTATTAGTATTTATTCAATAGCAACCAATATTGCAATAATACAAAACCAATGTGTGAGTTTTTTCCTTACCCTTTAGTTCTTAAAACTTTTATTCATACTCAATGACTGCTAACTTTAAAATCTTCGTATTTTTGGCTGTATGTTCATACCTAACTAATTATATTTTACTCACTGAATTGGTAGTTTTTGTTTGATTTGTTTGATTTATATTACTATTAAGTATTATTAGTATTACAAACCCGAAAGTTAGTGCATGCTATTACTTGTACATTAATGCCCATTACAATGTAATTGAACAGGGCTTAACATTTAGTGAATAGGAAGATATATATATTCTTCTGATACACATGTGGTATTTAGGTGATTTGGGATCCTGTTTTCAAATTCCTAGGTTTGATCATTCCTGATTCCGTGGTTAAATCCAGAAAAACGATCAGTAGTTTTCTATGTTGTGTTTTGTGTACTATTGTTTGTTTGTTTGTTGGTCTTTTTCTTTTTTATCCATGGCGTTGTCAGTTTATTTTTTTAACTATGGCGTTGTCAGTTTATTTTTTTAGCCATGGCGTTGTCAGTTTCTTTTTTAGCCATGGCGTTGTCAGTTTACTTTTTTAGCCATGGCGTTGTCAGTTTCTTTTTTAGCCATGGCGTTGTCAGTTTCTTTTTTAGCCATGGCGTTGTCAGTTTCTTTTTTAGCCATGGCGTTGTCAGTTTACTTTTTTAGCCATGGCGTTGTCAGTTTCTTTTTTAACCATGGCGTTGTCAGTTTCTTTTTTAGCCATGGCGTTGTCAGTTTATTTTTTTAGCCATGGTGTTGTCAGTTTATTTTCGACTTATGAGTTTGAATGTCCCTTTGCTTTCTTTCGCCTATTTTTCGGACGTGCGAAATTTATAAAATATTATTTTCTTTTTTGTTTTTTTTTGTGCTCCACTGACTAGAAACACATTTTCTGAATGCGCATATGGTGCATAAAAACAAATTCAGTATCGTTAGCTTTTACTGATACATTTTCGTAAGCATTGCCTGAGCTTTCATTTCGTTTTTTGCAAGAGCTTGTGTGCCCATGTGTCTTGCGTTTAAAGTCCAGTCTGTTGTCTTGTTCGAAGTTAAACGCGTCATGTGAATAACATTGAAATATCAATGGTTAATATACTTTTATAAATTTTGACTTGGATGGAGAGTTGTCTCATTGGCACTCATACCGCATCTTCTTATATCTATTGTAAGGGAAATGTATTTTTAAATACATCCTATTATTTTTTTCTTCAAAGATAAGTGTAGCAGTTATGAATAAATAAAAATACAGTTGTTTTGAATAATCATGTGTGTCAACTGTTAGATTCGTATTAAAAGAAGAATTGGTCATTAAAGTTAAAAATGCTAATAACTGATTGATTGTATTTTTCAACATCTAATGATCAACATAACATGCATATTCGGGCGAGAACAAATAATCATAAAGTAAACAGATAGGCATTGCAAAGTCGCGGCCGAGGTGAAAAGGTGGGTAATCGCGGATAAAAATTTTGCCGTGTTGTGAGCGCGACACTCTTCTATAACATGAGGCATCGCATTTGACGTTCCCATTCAAACCGAAAGGGGCTGGGATTTTTACATTCTTCGAAGCTAAACGAAAAAAGCCCTTTAACTTGGGAGAAATCCAGGTGACAATATTTAATATTCCTTGGGTCTTATTGCGATAAAACAAAATTGTCATGCCTTAGTTATTATTTCATCTTATCATTTGAACCGTTTTAAAAGTGTACATTGTAAATTTGATATTTCTTTAAAGAACTACACTATGTATAAATGTCAATAATTAAAATTCTTATCAGGTGATTACAACTTTTCATATTGCACAGCTCATTCAATTACTGTCTATGAATTAGTGCATTTCACATTACTGTTATACTTCAACCTTTTAGTCATTTAAATTTTACAACCTTCTAGTCATTTTAATTTTACAACCTTCTAGTCATTTTAATTTTACACTCTTTTCTCATTTGTTAGACATAAATTTTGAAAGAAATTTGGTGTATTTTTTACATGAAAAGAGAGACAAAAAAAATATATAATTAAACACAATAATTATTTTTCACTACACAGGCAAATTTTGTTCACGTGAATTTAATGTGAAATTAACGTGAATTTCACGTTAATCGAGCTTATACGCGTAATTCACGTGAAATACTGATTCACGTGAAATTTTTCATGTGAAATTCACGTGAATTGAACGTGAAATTCACGTGAACTTTTCACGTAAAATTAACATGAATCGAGCTTCTTTTTTTTAATGAAATTAAAGTGAATTCAGCCTCAATCACACTGATTTCACAGGATTTGAGCTTATTTATGTAAGTCAATTCTTATCTAATACAAATTCTGTTTTGATATATATAAACATGAAAAATATTCTTCTTGGTCTGGACCATGTGTTCATACTTCCATTCTGTTTTACTTTCTTTGTTTCCAAAATTTTTTGGTCTTAAACAAAGAAGGCAAACAAATGCATCACAGGA